TCGACTTGATGATGATTAAAGAAATGACCCAAAATGGTACGTATAGTGCTTATATATATAGGGATTTGAATAAATACGAATAATATAATATTGGTGGTGAATAATAAATATATGCATATGTGATTATGTGATATGTCAAAGGGAATTCTCAAGGCCATAGGTCGATGTGTATGCTGACTGGTATGTATGAATGTATGTATGGTCTTTTCTCTTGTGAGTTTTCAGAGATAGAGACTTGACAAGGAAACAAAAGGAGAGATTGCACAGATTGAGCTTCTTTTGTTTTGTCCTTTTTTATTTCTTTAATTTATTTATTTATTTATTTATTTATTTATTTATTTATTTATTTATTTTCCTTCTCTTCTTCTTAATTGTTGTTGTTGTCATTGTTTTACTTTTTTATACGAGTTAAATTAAAATGTAATGCATAGGCCGGTGACTTGCGAGGTACATATATACAACATTTATTTAAGAGATAAGAGTTTTTTCAATCAAGTCGATAAAATGAATAGAAAAAAATTAAGCATTTCTATTAGTTTGAAATATTTCATTAATATTACTTATGTTAATTCAACTAAAGTGAAATGCTTGGATTGGTAACATGCGTGGTGTGCATTTACAACATTCAATGAACAAAGTGATTTTTTACCTAGTTGATTAAAAGAATAAAAAGTTCAGTCCAACTAGATTTAGTGGGCTCAAAGCCCAAGTTTTTTATTATTGGATTAAACTCAGCATACCAATTCATTCTGTTGGATTAATAATAAAAAACTCTCTGGCCAATTAAACTCGTCATTCACACAATCTTACGGATATGTGTTGATTCAATCATAAAATATTATGACATTCAAATCCACCGTGTTCTTAGCTAATCCTAACATGTAGTAATATATTATATGGGATTTCATGGAAAGTAAATATAATGGGCAGGACTGAATTATTTTAGGCAAAATGTCTTTAAGTTCAATTACTCATGTCAGCACATTAAATAGAGTTATTTATCGCAGTTCACTTGATAGCAAGACTAGACAACATTAAAACTTAAAAGAAAGGGATACAAGATCACATACACATGCATGATCTATGATTTTCTATTTTTACTTTTTTTTTTCAACTTTATCGTTTTTTTTTTTTAAATAAATGTTCAACCAGAAGCAGCACCCATAATTTAGTTCTTATGTCTACCCAACTAATTAGGAGTAGATATAAAGCCTTTATAATTGGCCATAATTTCGCTACAACTGTTTTGACTCCACCTATATAGCTCGTGCGTGTTGTGTCACATAAATAAGCATTGGGTTTTCTTACTTATATTATATAAGAATATCAATATCACTAAAAAAAAATAATAAAATTCCAATGAAAAATTCCAACGAAAATATATTCTAATGGAATTCCAACGTCAATTCCAAATAGATATTTCAATGCTATTATTTTCGTTGGAATTTTTTAAATTTATATTTCAAATACATTAGGAATTCATTGATGAATGATTCTCATTTGAGTGCTAATGATTGGTCATCTAAAATATATGAAATTCGACATCGTTGGGTTCCAGCTTACATAAAACATGTCTTCTCTGCCGATATGTCAAGTAGGTCATAAAAGAGTATGGTTGGTCTTGCAGGATTTTATAGGTCATAAAAGAGTATGTAGCTTGTAGATGTTTCAGTATTACTATTGCTCATAAAGTTGGGGAGTTGTAATTTAAGTATATGAAGATACCTCTCTCAGTTGTTGCTAATGTATTACAGTTTATCAAGTCACTTTGAGTTGATATGTATCATGCGATATTGGTTTATCATTAAACGGTTGTTTTGTTAGAATCACGAGTTCGTAACAGTTCTGACTCATTTGGGTTTGGTTGAATTTTTAACTGGCCGACTGTTCATGATTTCTAATGCTTCAAAGTATGTGTTTCACGTAGAGCTGTTGCAGCAGAAGTGTGTGAGGAACTTTTCAGTCCATGGCCCCTCATGCAGAGCTTGCATTGAACGGTGTTGAAGTTTTCATGAATGCTAGTGGGAGCCATCATCAGTTATGAGAACTTGATCTTCGTATGCGTGCTTTTGTTGGTGCTACACATACCCGTGGAGGAGTTTACATGTATAGTAATCACCAAGGCGTGCTTTTGTTGTGCTCAAGTAGATCTAGATGCAGTATGTTATGTATCAGTTACTCGTACGTGCTTTGTGTATGTAAGATATTTAGCTTGTTACAGTCTTTGTGTATGTAAGATATTTAGCTTGTTACAGTACCAATATTGAATGAATTTATTGCATTCACTACACAGATTTCCGGATGGAAATAGCATTTCTCCAATTTCTTTTTGCGTAGTTGTTTTAACTAGTGTTTTACCAATTTTTGACGAGGATATGTGTTTTGATCGAGCACGATGGCAACACCTGATCCATATAGCCGACCCCACTTAGTGGGATTTAACTGTTTGTTGTTGTTGTTGTATAGCAAGGGGCAAGGAGTAAGAACATGCATTATTTACTTTAATATATAGTATGTTATCCATGGTGGTCATGAAAAAACTTTTGTATGCTGCATTTTTTTTATTTCAGGTTTGATTGCAGGTAGTCATGAAAAAACTTTTGAAGTCCTCGCATTCATTTAATAATTTTGATTGGTTCAAATATTGTATTTTATTTGAATGGACATGATTTATGTATAAAATATTTTACATGTGTTAGTACCATGTGCCCCGTGCATCTCTCTCGGGTTATGCACTAGTAACAAATAAAGATGAAGGTGTGATTAAAAATTAGAGTTCATGCATTCCTCCATTTTAGAAAGAAAAAGAAAAGACAGTATAATTGGAGATGGCTCTGCACTCGCTCTGCTTAACTTTACATGTGGCTTTTGGCAAAAATCCAATTTTGGTCCGCTAATTTGTCTATTGTCCACTTTTGGTACACTATCTTTCCCCTTATCAAAAATGGTCCATTATGTTACATTTTTCATCAATTTTAGTACGCTACTCCAGTTGGCGGGATTACAAGATGACGTGGACCAGGATTGGAACTACGTGGAGGGATAAGATATTGACGTGGTAGGATAAAACCTGATTTGGCATCTCGTAATCCCGGGTCATGGGATTAGTGTACTAAAATTGATGAAAAGTGTAACATAATGGACCATTTTTTATGAGGGGAAAAATAGTGTACCAAAAGTAGATAATGAACAAGTTAGCAGACCAAAATTGAATTTTTGCCTGTGGCTTTGTCAATCAGTAATTCCTTAACTGTCATGCCTTTTGTTTGTCAGAAGGATAAGGTTGTTTTAGCTTAATTTTGCGCGAACGTTGCAGATGTTAATCTTAACTCGTCAACAGATTGCATTCGTTTTGCTGACTTGTAAGTTTCCAGAATGCCATTATACTTGTCTAAAAATCAATTTCTTTTTCTCTAGAAACATAATGGAAAATTCAGATTGAGGCTTTTATGAGGCATCCGTGACAAGTAGCCTTTTATTATGCGTGTTCGTACAATTAAGTAAATTGATTCGCAGCTTTCAGTGAGAGAATCACTGTTGGTGTTAGTAACTTGCCACTTTTGTTTGAGCTTCTTGTGTCATTTAATCAAAATCTAAAAATTAGAGGAGGGTAATTCTGATTTTGGAAAAGTGCATTGGTATTTATGAAGAGGCGTATTTTTTTTTTATACGTTGTGCTTGAAATTTCATCATAATCCAGAATTGACATTATCTTCGAGAAACTCTTTCATCTGTATATGGTTGTTTATGTTTTTGTATCCACAATTTAGTTTTCAATATGTTTCACCATACTTTTTATCCTAAGACAAACACATCCCAAATCTTATTTTGGTCGAGTACATCATTCTATCATTCTATCATTCTATCATTAAATTAAAATAAACAATGGAGTCTTATTGTTAATTATCTTTGGCCTTTCAAATTGTTCAATTCAGTTGGTCCATTTTCATTGGTTGTTTCTATCGAGATAATTACCCCTTAGACCGCCCTAAATTCTTTTAAGGACATAAACGTAATATCAAGTTTTTAATTCCATAAATATAACAATTGTTTTTAATTTTTCCTTCTTTCGCCCTTCTTTTCCTCCTCACTTCTTCCCTCGCCATTTCTCTTCTTCTTTCCTTATTTCTTCACTTCTCTTATTTTTTACTTCTAATTATACAATCTTTTCACCTTCCAAACTCAACCCCTTATCTAAATTCTCTCCCGTACTTCTTCTACTTTCGATACACACACGAGCACCCTCCGGAGGTGACTGCTAAAAGAACCCTTTTAATAGCAAAACCCTAAATTTCATCACAAATCAATTAAATTCGGCGAAAAGCGAAGGGATGGCGTTATATTCGATTTTTTCTGTTTTCTTTTTTTTTTCTTTTTTTTTTTGTAAAAATTTAATACTCAACAGGAGCATGAGATGGCGAAAAGCGAAGGAATGGTGTTATAGAAAGAGAAGAGAGGTGAAAATGGTGATTCGAAGGTTGGAAATATTGATCGACTGTGTTGCCCAATTTTTTCGATGGCTCAGATTTTTTCTATTACTTTGCTTGATAATTTAAGTGTGTTAATTTCTTAAAAAATTTAAGTAGTTTATTTAGTGTTAATTAGTACGTAACCCGTGCCATGCACGGAATGTAAAATTTGGAAGAATAATATAAACTCACGTGCATTAGGATGAAAATTGAAATCATTAAAATACATAGGAACATTGTTGAATCATAAAAAGTTCGGTAACAATCATAAATTATTAAAAACCTCCTTGTACACAACATTATGAGTTTGATTATTTGGTAACTCCTCATTATCACAAACTAATATTTTCAACCCCCTTCTATTATTTACACGCGAAGCAGCAACATATAATTGGCCGTGATTAAAAACGGGTTTCTTCAGGAAAAGATCAACGTGCG